AAACCACCACGAATAAACAATCCCATCATTTCTTGCAGACTGGGAGCAGTGCTGGGTAAGCCGTGACAAACCAGAACAGACAAGGGGACGACCATTAAAGCAGCACCGGCAGTAAATCTGATGGTTATGGCGAGACTGCAGCAATTGTGGTTACATAAAAGTTCAACATTTGAGGAGGTTTTTTTGGCAAGAAGCTGTCAAAGTGCAATGTTTTGGGAATGAGTGATGAGTTACTAGGCAGGTTTTGTTGTAACATGCAGTAATTGTCTTTCCTGAAGCTCAAGTGTGGGTGTGTTAAAGTTAGAGACACTTACTTTCCATTTTCTTCGAGCTGCAAACTTCTTGAACTTCTCCATGTTGACAGCCGACTCCTTTCGGCTCAGTGCTTGTTGAGTGTCTTTTGGCTGTTTTCACAAACACAACAACTGTATTGATAACCAAATCTTCTGAATATTTTGGTATAATATCTGGTTGAGGCTTGGAAACATTCAACTAAATACATTTTTAAACGTTAACTGATGCAAATGTGAATTTTATAACTTAAATTTAACAGGGATGCCATCATGCAGCGAAAAGAGTCCAACCTTGATCCAGGGGTGCTGGAGGCTGTCCTGAATAGTCATTCTCTTTCTGTAAATAGAAAATGTACACAAATTAAGGGAGCAGAAAAATATTTGTTGAGTGTCTTTAGATATTTGGCAGTTCCAGGAGTTGCTAGTTCATCATCTCATTCTCTGCTTTCTGATGTGACACAGCATTTTAATAGTCAATTATTAATGTAATTATTTTGAATCTTAAAGAGTAAAAGTCATCTACAGGTGGCGTGTTGCACAGAAGATTCAAATTCCAGGCACTCATGGGTGGTTAACAATAAATCCATTAATAAAGATGGGTTAGCAGGTTATTAAACAGGCTATTAAACACAGAGGGTGAGAGTAAATGGCATTTTGTCAAATTTACTGTGTACATCGACTGGCTCACCACAGGGCTGTGTTCTTTCACCCTTATTTTATATTTTGTACACTAACATGTGCCAAAGCATGTATACAAACAGAACGATACTGAAATATGCTGATGACACAGTTATTGTGAGTTAAATGATGGTGAATCGGGTCACGGTCCTATTATTGAAGAGTTTGTCTCCTGGTGTGACAAATCCTATTTGGAGTTAAATATAGAAAAAACAAAAGACATGATCATAGATTTTAGAAACAGTGCTTCTAATTATTACTCTACGGTCATCAAAGACCAGGCGGTGGATTGTGTAGAAAGCTACAAATATCTTGGGACTGTCATAGACTCTAAATTGACTTTCGAAAAAATTGTGAGTCTGTATGTAAAACGGTCACCAGCGTCTGTTTTGCCTCAGAAAGTTGTCCAGATTTCATATTGATAAATCTATGATGATCCTTTTCTACCATGCTTTTGTTGAATCGGTCTTGTCGTTCTCCCTTGTATCTTGGTTTGGAAATTTGTCTTTGAAGAACAAAAATTCTTTGAACCAAATTCTTAGGTGGGCTAGTAAGATCATAGGTGAATCTCAACTCAACCTTGTAGGTCTTTATTCCAATCAGTTACAGCATAAGGCGAGTTTCATTATTGGAGACTGTTCCCACCCTTTACATGCTGAGTTTCAGCTCCTCCCCTCTGGATGTCGGTTTGCTGCCACTAGGTGTAGAACCAAACGATACAGGAATACTTTTGTTCCCGCTGCCATAGAATTAATGAATAAAAATAGCAGTAGATGACACTCTTTGTTATGTATAGCACCTTATGTGTTTTAGCCAGGGGGGCGGGCGGGTAAGGAGGGTGGGGGTTAGGGGGTGGTGGTATAGAGGCACACTGCCATGTTCCTTTTAGAAGTTTTAGGCTTTGGATATTTTATAATGTTCTATGCTTATTGTTTGTTTTGATGTTTTTATGTATGGATTGCCGAAAGTCTCCTGTCTGCACAAAATTTTACCCTCGGGTACTAATAAAGACACCTTGACCTTGACATCGACTAGTATCCCCACAGTTGCCTTCTTTAAGGTGTCTTGACACACAATTACTAAGTGCAACTTAAATTGGATATCTTTAATCCCACACGCAGATGATATTCTTTCACTTTCAAATTATTCTTTTAGAGAGCACCAGGTTATAAGGGACAGCAGATGGTTTTTTTTTTTTTTTTTTTAAATGTCAATTAAATCTACAAAAAGATTTACATGTGTCTCAAAAGATTTGAATATCATGGAAAAGTTTATTTTCTTCCGTCTTTTAATTCAAAAAGGACTTCAAACTTTCATTTATTCTAGATTCATTACACATGAAATATTTTAAGCCTTTTTTTGATTTAATCTTGATGATTACGGCTTACAGCTCACGGAAATCAAAACTCCAGTATCTCAAAATGTAGTACAATTTTAGAAAAAAGAATTTCTAATATAGAAATGTCGAACCGAGAACAGCTACTCAAAACACCTTCAAAGGTTTCTGAGTCTTTACTCTCTCAGTCTGGTTCTGGTGATCACAACAAACTTTTCCACGATCTTCAGTTTTTTTGAGATGCACCTGTAATTGATATGCAACTGTCCTCCTGGTCATAGTCAGAAACAGTGATTACTGTCAGCAGTCCATGAGAGCAGTGGACAAGTTGAACGAGGGATTACACTGACACAGCTGTGTGCAGATGGACATAACAAAATGCCACTCCCATCAAGCTGTGAAAAAATGTACAGTCTACAGTCATCGAATCACCATAAACTCTCCTACACCTTAAGAGTAAAGAAGTTGTTTTTTCCTCTAGTTTCTAACAAAGTGAAATCGAGTTCAACATGTGTCCCAGTGTTTTGATGTTTAATAAGCCATCAAACTCATGGATCCATTGCTTAAACTGGCCATCGTTGCCACTGTGTAAATAACAACCTCCCCTCAAACACAATTAGGGTTTAAATTTAATTTAGAAAATTCATACAACAAAAAAAAATAATGTGATGACCTAATCTTTTTTATGTTGACCTTTGTTGACGTAAAACATCTCATTTCCTTTTTGAAACACTTCATACTTCTCTTAAACGCCACCTCAAATAAAAGGTATTGAGACAAATCAATTTGTTTACTATTTCCCCGGATACGTACATCTTAACGGACAGGATGGTTTCAAAACATAAAGTCAGCACTCCATCACACAGGGATTATATTTGATTAACAGCCTAACGCTCTGAATGTCAATAATCTACAGTATAGTCGATTACCATCTGACATTAAATAAAAGTCAAGCCAGTCGTTTAGGGAACTAAGAAGCACAGACGCCACTTCCCTTATCACAAAGACTATAAACTAACAATGAAAACAACAAGACATTGTTTTGTTTCAACATAAGCCAATAAAACCCATTAGGGAAACTGGTGTGGTCCAGTACGCCCACCACTTCCTCCAGTCCACGTCTGTTCACTACCACATCCCGGTTTCCAACTGTGCTCACACATACATGACGCAAAGTAAAAACAAAGTTAACAAATTCACTGGTATAATCACAGTGAACAGCAGCTTTGCTGGTGCCATCTGGTGTCATGGTGATTATTAAACAGTAATGCGTGTCTTCTTTTAGGGAATCTTCATTCATCATCCTGTCTACAGAGTGGATCCATATCCGCTCACAATGTAGATCAATTAAAAGCCGTTCTATTTTGATGCACTCGGTCGGGGATTTCTAAAAGCCCCATTAGTTGAAGTTTGTAAAGTCACTGTCCTCTTTCGCCCACTGTTTAAAGCAGCCCGCCCTTTACGGTCTCTGTTCTTACTTGATCCTCTAAATGAAGTTATCTCCACACCCATAATTATTCACACCAGTTAACCCCCTCGCTCTCGCTCCATTGTTCTGAAGAAACAGAAGGAGAGCGTAGTAAAAGCTCGGTAATGAAAGAGAGAAGTTCACAGTTTAAGGTACCCAATTGTCTCTAGTGACAGGGGAGTTTTATTTGGAATATCTGCTGTGCGCCTATATAACATTTTATTGTCATCTTTTTAGAGTTTTAAAAAATCCAATCCAATTGGCAAACAGCTGTTGTCTTAGTAATTTGAAGTCCCAAGTTGACACTCTTGTTCCAGATGTACTCAGAAAGATGAACTTCAAAGAGTGATTTGCCAAAATGGATTTATGGAATTTTAGAAAGAAAGTTGAACATTTATCTGAGTCTCAAAGCATTTTCCTGTGAGTTGAATTGACTGATAGGTTCACTCTTGTGCTGCAAAGATTAGCTGATTAATCTTTTATTTGACTGGCAGAAAATGAATTCCTTTTGATTCATCATTTAAGCACACTACAACAATACAACTGCTGGATGCAAAATACAAAACACAATGTCAGAGGCATTAGCAGAGATCTGATGAAGGTCTTTGTTTCTTACTTAATAAATTGGGTTTTTGCAACAGAACCAAATGTGCAGACATCAACCAGAAATGTGAGAGATTCTCTGAACTATTGGTTGGACAAAACAAGTGAATTGAAGACTTCAGCTTGGACTGCGGGAAATTGCGATGAGCACATTTCACTATTTTGTCACATTTTAAAAACGTTCAAAACTTTATAGCCCATGTAATGCAGGCAATAATGGAAATCTGTCTTTCGTCGGTGCGTGGCACATGTAGAGATGTAATACAGCACAAATGAGAGCATCGAAGTGCACATAAAAAGGCTACACAATTTTTATTTAGACTTATCGATTCATAAAAAGAACCTACACAATAACAAATTGTATGAAAATAACAATCCCTACTTCACTCTTTTTGGAAACTGTCTAAATTTTTTCCCATCCAGCTCACGCAGTGCTGTAACTATACATTAGAGAGCATCTACTTGATACCCTCAAAGTCACCGCCTGAAGCAGATGTTTTTCAATTCCTGTCTCAAATATCACAGAGGTGTCATACATACTTGGGATCTTTGACAAGGAGTCTTGCTATGAACTCTTTGGCCAGGGCGCTGGTGTTACTGAAGAACTCCTCGTCAAACGTGTAGTCCACGGCCGACACGTTGGCCAGAGTCTCCTGCTTGTTGTCACCCAGGAAAGGAGATGCACCACTCAGACTGCAAGATGGGGAAAACAACAATGTTAGAGGTGTACACACTGACTGCTGTTTAGCAAAGGTATAATGAAGACAATCCAGTCCCAAGATAATTTTACATTGATTGATTGATTGCATGTAAAGCTCTACATGTATTGCTTTCATCAACTCAACAGCTTTTAGAACCTCCAGTCTACAGCAATGCTCTCTGGTTTAACTTGCCCCGCCCGCTGGGTCTTGTAATCAAAGCAAAAGGGAAGAAATTGGCTTTCAGTTCAAACACTAACTCACACGCTGCTGATTAGCTTTGGCCCTCAAAACCAAAACTTAGACGTTACTCCTCGTTGACGTGGGAATATGATTACAAAGCAGCGTAGCAACTAACGGTGACTCATTAGTCAAGCCTTGCTATCAATCTGAAGTATTGCATATGCTTAAGACCTACTTGTTCACTTCTGCGTATGAGTCCTAAATGTTCGTTTATCCTTGATGTCTTTGTATAGTGGCATTTACTTTTTAGTGTTTCAATTAAAATTTTTATTGTACTGTTTGTATTTGCATTCTTTTTGTAATGCACTTTGATTGAAAGCGCTCTATAAATAAATAAATAAATAAATAATTATTTGGTGTGTTACTCAAACACTATCAGAGGAAAACCAGCTGGACAGCTCTCAGTTCCATGGAAATGCGAGGGGTTTGTGTGGAGTACAGGAATTTTAACGCACTTTCACACCTTTCAATTGAACGCGCACATAAAAATAAGCAGATGTAGTAAGGAGATATTGGTGCGCACCAGCACGGGACAAAAGCATGTCTTAATGGTCAAACCAAGACACAGCGCATGCACGCACAAGGGCTGAACGGTCATGCATGTTGGATGAGGTCTCAAGGCTCTTAGAGCTCAGGCAGTTAAACCAAACACCAGTCGTGACAGACCTTCCCCTTCTCAACCGACACCTCTCCAGCTCTTCAGCACCAGCCACTAATTAACTTGCCAACTGGGACAGACATAGAGAACGTCAACCTCATGTCGGTTGAAATGTATGAAATTATCGACTGCATAAGGTGCAGCTGCTCAAAACAAACAAGTAATCAAGGCAGTTCTTCATTAAGCCAGGCGGGAAAACAAAATTTAATCAGGCTTCTGTGGCAACATATTATCCTCAGTTTGCTTCCCAAATGAGACTTCAAGATGCAGTATGCTCAATTTTTATGCTGAACTATACCCATATTTACCTACCTAAAACCCAAATTAGGGCTCCGGCAGAGCACAAAGTTGCAGCACCACTCGCTGATTCACCACATTTACCCACATTATGTCAGGTTAACAAGTCTTTCAAACTCTCATAAAAATGGAAAACTGTAGTATCTTTTTGTGCAGCTTTCATTACACTGTGGCAATCGGGTCAGCACTCATGCAGAATACTCCCAATAAGGGTTTGGAGATGCTCGCCAAAATCATACCAATTCGCTTACTGAATTACTCCCATATACCATTTTTTCCCCCCTCACATTGTTTTTTTTTTCCAAAAGGAGATGAGCAGTAAGTGCACCTCACTGTTGCTCGGCTGTGAAAATAGGCAGTGAACAATCTATTTTCTAACTTGCCAGGCAGAGCTGTGACAACTGTGTGGGTGGACAGCATGAACAAAGATCGTGTGCGTACTGTATGTCGGCTATGTGTGCATGTGTACTAGAGACAAAATGATGCATAATTTTAACAGCACCTACATATTACTCCTCTAAAATTAAGCGTGTAATGTATGCAGCTACTTATTATGTAATAAATAAATAAGATTTGTAGTGGCATTTACCTCTGTGTTTTGGCAGGAGCGCTCAGCATGTTTGTGCGAGAAAATGCACCTAATTTGCGCTAACGCTCTGTGTTTGGCTTCGTGTAGGTGTCTCTCTGAAGGATAAAGGTGTGTGGGAGCTCTGGAAACCTTGTAGCTGGGAATAAAGAGGAGGAGGACAGCACCATCAAGAGCCAACAGCAGTTGATCTGTGGGTCGTCGAGGGTATGAACCTTTCTCTCGCTGCTGAATTAAACTGTGCTGACATATCTGCACTGCTTCAAGAACACTCGCTAGTTCAATGAAAGTCCTTGGCTGTAGAACATGGTTGTTTTAAAGATCAATTGTTTAACAGAGTTATATGCAAAAAAGTTATCAAAGTGAGACTTTAGTATAACAGCCTCTAAAGTAGTGTGGTCATTAAAGTGAGTTGTATTTTATATATATATATATATATATATATATATATATATATATATATATATATATATATATATATATATATATACATACATATATATACATACATACACACACACACACACAACACACACACACACACACACACAGATTCAAAGGGGGAATATCGAATCAGGGCTTCTGTTCTGAGGTCAGATCCCCTTCAGTACCTGCACAACATGCCGACAAGATCAAAGAAGTCTTACCAGACCTTGTTCAAGTCCAGAGTCAGTTAGCTAGACTGGTATCTGGCTGCCTAAAGCTATTTATAGTTCATTAGGGATCCAAGCACCAAAGCTGCTGGAGCCCTATTGTTTTACTCATTATTCTTTCCTCCTTTCCGCTAAAACAGTTTGTGCAGCAAAAACTACTGCACGAAAACTCACCAAAATTGGCAGGGGGGATTGCCAATTCCACCCACTACTGAGGGGAAAAAGGCACTCATAGACCTCGTGACTTTTTAGCACTGTTCTCCAAAACTTATTATCATATACGTTGCTGATCAAGAATTTTTATACGTCAATCTGTTTTTTTTCCCATAAATTTTTACTTTGTATCTTTACGTTCAATTTTACATGAATGCCCGTAAATCAAAATTGGCTTAAGCTATTGTAACCAAACTTAAAGCGTCTGTTCAGATGCTCGGTCCATGCTTTGCTGAGCAAAAAAAATTGGAAATGATTGGTCTATGAGGTCTATGAGTGACTTGCTTGGATCCCAATCATTGCCGCTTGCAGCTATATTTATATTGGATTTTTTTAAAGAAATCTGGGATTTGGGAGTGTTTATTTTGAATATTAAAAAATAGATTAAAAACAGGCATAATCCAGATTTTAAAAAAGCCATTTACAGCTCAAACGCTTTATGATTTTATAAAGCATTGAGAGGAAATGTTTCAGCTTCCGAAAGGAGTTTGACAGCGTTGTTCTTCGACTGTGTTCATACTAATTTAAATGTGAAAAGCTTGATAGAGAACTAGATAAGAGAGTTTGAACACCTCCTGTTGGGTTTAGTTTATTTTGTAATTATACATCAAAATTTATTTGTTGATTATATTTTTAATAATCTGAATCTGCAAAGTAAATAGTAACTACAGCTATTCATTAAAATGCAGTAGAGAAAGTCCAAAATGTAGTGAAGAAGTATAAAGTAGCATAAAATGGAAAGTACAAGTATCTCAAAGTTGTACAGTACTTGAATAAATTGTACTTTACTTTCCACCACTGACTCCAAAACAACATATTATTGTTCAACATGGCCTTTAAATGAAGTAAACTACAAAAAACCAAGTTAATGAATACAACAATATGAAAAGAGAGTAAAACTAACAGTAACTGCAGGTTTCACAGTTTGATGTAGCCATAATCAGAAAGAAGCCTCTCTGATGCGATCCATAAAGACTCACGCATTGGATATTTAATAAGAAGCAAATATCAGAGAAATAATGTTCACGCAACTTCTGGAACAGCATCACACTCAAAATGCAGTTTTAATGCTCGGTGGTCCATGCTGCAGGCTGCTACTTTATTCATGACAAACAGCGTACACTTCAGTGAGTTCAACAACAGAGAGGTCAGCCAGTAACCTCTTCACGTCTCAACAAACATTCTGATTGACTGTCATGTTTAGCAAGTGACGGCGCCCTGGGCTTTTAAGAACATAGAGGTGAAGGGCGCTGTTGTAATAACCCGGCGGGTTTTTGATTTGTGCATGTTTCACATTTCACACAATTATCCGTCATCTCTGACGGCTTTTCTGATACTTACAGGATGTAGGTTATCACACCGACGCTCCTGAGCAGAGGCAGGGAGAAAGAGGAGATATTTTTCACGTCACACAATAAATCTCTTGTGCATTTTGACAGCAGTGCATCATGCAAAACATATTTACTTAACAGCAGATGCTCTTCTTAAATTAGAACAAATGCAAAAAGCTTATATACGTAATGGTCATTGTAGAGCAGACTGAGTTTTTATGTACTCACCACATGTCTGCCTCCAGGCCCAAAGGTTCATAGTTGACAACTTCTGGAGCTGCAACGCAAATGCACAAAATGGAATATTACTACTAATTAGGTCAACATGCACAGGACTCACACACACACGCACACATACACTAACTTTACCTTTACATTTCTCTGATTTCTTTTCCCTAACTAATTTAGCGACTTGTTTTTTTCCTCCAATGTTTTGTTTGAGCGTGTTATCACATTTCACAGGTTTTTTTTAAATCACACCTGCCAGAACTGTGATTATATTCTTTGCTCTTGTCACATGTCCTCAGATGTGTGAGTAACTCAAAGTGAATCAGTACATTCATTTCTGATCAAATTTAGACAAAACAGGTGCAGTGGTTAGCACTGTCTCCTCACAGCAAGAAGTGGGTTCTCTACGGGTGCACTGGTTTCCTCCCACCATCCAAAGACATGCAGGCTAGGTTGATTGGTGTCTCCAAAATTGTCCTTAGGTGTGCGTGGTTGTTTGTCTATGTGTGGCCCTGCGATGGACTGGCAACCTGTTCAGGGTGTACCCCGCCTTTTGCCCAATGTAAGCTGGGATTGTCACATGTAGGATAAGCGGCTGACGATGGATGGATAGATGGACTTCTATGGGAGACAGGAGGCAATTGCACCCCCGCTGACATTTAGTTAATATTAATGGATTTTGTTGCTCCTATCATATTTCTATGTCTTACTTCTATTTAAGAGACAATCATGCTTTAAGTGTTGAAACTAAAGTTCCCATAACTAAGGGGATTTGGGGGATATAAACATTTTGGAAAACTGACACCAATAAAAAGTTTGCTGAATTAGCTATTAGCCTTTCCTGTTTGCAGTGTCCCCCTTACTTTAACACTGAAGAAAGCTTAAAAACGTGACGATACTCAGGTAAGTTCTAGAGTAATGAAGAGTGAATGTTTTATTTTTAATGAATGTCAGAGATAATGATTTGGAAGTGTACATCACACTGAATCTAAAAATTTGTCGCACACATGTTATGACTCAGATGGAGCGTGATTTTGACGCAAATTACATCAATTGGGAGCAAAAGGATTGAAGTCACCTTGATTGCCTTCATGACCTAAGTGTCGCAGTTACTGCTGTGTTGGTAAACAGGCCAAATCAGCAGGCCAAACTACAATAAGTGACTTCCCTTTGCCTAACGGTGTGCACCTGTCCTCTTCACCTCACACAGTCCCTTTGCCTCATGGAGTACAACTACTAACCCCCATGCTGGAAAGGCAAATGCAAAAGACTGATAATTCATTTTTGCCATGAACTTATAATGTACTTTCCCTAATCATTTACATTTTTTCAATCAATTTCAGAGTGCCTAAGCCTGTCTTCCAGCATCACCTAACCGACTCATAATTTTGGCTTTCTGCCACTTGATCTTTATTTACACCATTTAACTGCTGCCACCCGCTGAACTGGAATCAGGCTCTGGCCTGGATGGTGCTGGTAGTGGGTACTGGCACTGGGCAGGGGGAGATTGGGAGTGTTGGCGGCTGCCCCGGGCAAAAAGGTGAGGGGAGATGGGATACAGCCACTGATGTGTCTAAGTGTGTGTGTGTGTGTTTGAGTTGGCAAGAAGGAGCAGCTCTGGTAATCTCCAGTCTATTATCAGGTCTCTCTCACTTAGTCCCCATGGCACAATTGGCACCTGCTCTCACAATACGCAACCCCTGGGATAACGCCAGGAAAACAGGGTGGTGCAGTAAGTGTGCGTGTGTGTGCATGTGTATCTATAGTAGAAACATAGAGACTTTATCTGCACAAACTCATCACGACAGAATATGTTCAATGAAACATAAAACTAGATGCAGATCAAGAACATGATTCTTCACACACACACACACACACACACACACACACACACACACACACACACACACACACACACAGATACTGACCTACAAATTCTGGAGTTCCAAAAATGTTTTTAAAATCATTGCCAAAATCTATCTTGTGGGCCAGGCCAAAGTCAATGAGCTTGATGCGCGGGTGAGGCACTGAGCGGTTCAGCAGCATGATGTTCTCCGGCTAGAAAGAAAGAAAAAAGAGGGACAGTTTCAAAGGTGAGAGGACAGACAGAGGCAGATAGAGGTGGTGTGACAATTTGGGAATTTTTTTTAAGCTGTTAGCTCTAGCGTGCAGCCAACTGTGTGTCATGATATCAGTGAGGAACTGGTACGATGCTCACAGAGAAATTAAAGAATGAATGTTGAAAATTAGTCCCCTAAATGATCAGTGTAGGACACAAACTAAGAGTAAACTAGAGAGCGAGCAGCAGAGTCAGACACAAAACCAGGAATAGGCGGGCAGGAAGGAGGCTCATCAGCCATGGAAATCTCATGCAAAACATGAGTTAAAAACCTCTCGAGGAAGTGGGAGAAAGGCAAAGATGCGCTTTAAGCAAAGCCAAACAACAGAAGCCGGACATTCCTAAGGACACAATGCCTCTTTTAGACGAAGCCATCTTCCCTCCAAACCTCATCCTTTCAGCTTGACTAAGAGCCGAGGATTTAGTCTGGGAAGGAACAAGAACAGATTGGCTGTGGGCAGCAGTGGCAACAGGAGGCGCTGAGAAAATACAATCAATCTCCAACTCAGCTCGTTGGTTTCGTTCTCTGCTCTATAAACACTGGTGCGCTTATGTTAATGTTGGAATGAAGGAGAATAATATCAAACTTGGGTCACAAACTGTTTTAGTTTCTCCATCTGCATAATTTGAATACCTTAAATCCAGTGGTGGAATGTAACTCTGACACACTACTGCGTTTTCGAATTAAAACGGAGACCTTTTGCTACATTTGCACCTCCCGTCCAGACTACAACGAAGAAAAAAAGAAGACCTAAAAGGGAGAAGTTTGGAAACGGAGATCGTATTCGTTATGATTCTCCGTTTGTAAACTAAAACGGAGTAGTGTGGATGGGGCCTAAGTACACTGCTCAAAAAAATAAAGGGAACACTTGCACTGTAACTCCAAGTCAATCACACTCCTGTGAAATCAAACTGTCCACTTAGGAAGCAACACTGATTGACAATCAATTTCACATGCTGTTGCAAATGGAATAGACAACAGGTGGAAATTATAGGCAATTAGCAAGACACCCCCAATAAAGGAGTGGTTCTGCAGGACCACTTCTCAGTTCCTATGCTTCCTGGCTGATGTTTTGGTCACTTTTGAATGCTGGCGGTGCTTTCACTCTAGTGGTAGGCGTTACCAGGAGACAAGTCAGTACATCAGGAGACGTGGAGGAGGCCGTAGGAGGGCAACAACCCAGCAGCAGGACCGCTACCACCGCCTTTGTGCAAGGAGGAGCAGGAGGAGCACTGCCAGAGCCCTGCAAAATGACCTCCAGCAGGCCACAAATGTGCATATGTCTGCTCAAACGGTCAGAAATATCCTCCATGAGGGTGGTATGAGGCCCGACGTCCACAGGTGGGGGTTGTGCTTACAGCCCAACACTGTGCAGGACGTTTGCCAGAAAACACCAAGATTTGCAAATTCGCCACTGGTGCCCTGTGCTCTTCACAGATGAAAGCAGGTTCACACTGAGCACATGTGACAGACGTGACAGAGTCTGGAGACGCCGTGGAGAACGTTCTGCTGCCTGCAACATCCTCCAGCATGACCGGTTTGGCGGTGGTCAGTAATGGTGTGGGGTGGCATTTCTTTGGGGGGCACAGCCCTCCATGTGCTCGCCAGAGGTAGCCTGACTGCCGTTAGGTACCGAGATGAGATCCTCAGACCCCTTGTGAGACCATATGCTGGTGCGGTTGGCCCTGGGTTCCTCCTAATGCAACACAATGCTAGACCTCATGTGGCTGGAGTGTGTCAGCAGTTCCTGCAAGAGGAAGGTATTGATGCTATGGACTGGCCTGCCTGTTCCCCAGACCTGAATCCAATTGAGCACATCTGGGACATCATGTCTCGCTCCATCCGTGGATGCTTTAGTCCAGGTCTGGGAGGAGATCCCTCAGGAGACCATCCGCCACCTCATCAGGAGCATGCCCAGGCGTTGTAGGGAGGTCATACAGACACGTGGAGGCCACACACACTACTGAGCCTCATTTTGATTGTTTTAAAGGACATTACATCGAAGTTGGATCGGCCTGTAGTGTGGCTTTTCACTTTGATTTTGAGTGACTTAAATCCAGACCTCCATGGGTTGATAAATTTGATTTCCATTGATAATTTTTGTGTGATTTTGTTGTCAGCACATTCAACTATGTAAAGAAAGGAGTATTTAATGAGATTATTTCATTCATTCAGATCTAGGATGCGTTATTTTAGTGTTACCTTTATTTTTTTTGAGCAGTGTACATTTACTCAAGTACTGTAGTGTTAGTATTGTAATTAGAGGTACTTGTGTTTTACTTTTTTATGTCACATTCTACTCCGCTACAATTCAGAGTGAAATATTATTACAATAGATTAATCATGAAAATAATCAAAGCAGACAAATCCATACTGAAAATAAATTAGTCGCAGTCTGATACAAAATAGTTCAAAATGATCTCCACCTCAAACAACTAAAACAGTAAAATCCTGCTTTTACGTTCATGCATGGGTAATAATCATCTAATGACATAAATATATATATATATATATATATAAAACATCTGGTATATTTTTACAGTGTGGTATAAGTAAAGGATTTGAATACTTCCTCCACTACTGCTTAAATCATGAGAAAAGTGGGAAGTTCTGTGAAGCAGTATGGCCACTTGTGCTAAAAGCTCAATCAGCAAAAACATGTTTCTGTTCAGATCTCTTCTCGACAAGGATTAGAGCATTAATCAGAGTATTAGTACACAAAGATACAAAAGTTGGGGGATTTGTACAAACTGGGTCTTTTCAAGCGTTTTCCAATAGAATAAGAACTGACTTTAGATCATTGTGATCCTTCAGTTCAGATACGAAATTGCATATAAGACTGGTGACGAGCAGGACATCATTATTCTGCCTTAGCCAACATTAAGCTCTTGAGCATGATAAGTACATTGATTGGCAATCTCACTGTCTCTGTAGAATTGATTTTACTCTAAATAGAAACTAATTTTCTGAAAACTGCCTTGTTCAGTCAGGCAGTCACATTTGAAACAGTCTAATGGTGGTTTAAGGAGGTCAGAGAGAAGATTTGGTCTGCTTTTATTTCTGCCCATGAATATCTACTACTGCAGCCATGGTATTATTATAGCTGCACAATATGCAGATAAAAAGCAATGCACATGGCCTTAAACTAAAATTAAACTTTTAAATTGTCAAACACAAGAACAAAAAAGGCAAAATTTTATCAGAATATGGGCGAACATGGCAAATAAAGACACTGAACTTTCTCCCTTTGAAGTGGAATACTGCTGTACTGCAGTCATTCAACTAAAACAAATTAAGTCCTAATCTAAGCCACTGCTAGACAGTGAATAACGGTGGCTAATATCCAAAGTGGAGGCTGCGGTGGTTGGTAAAAGCTCTAGCATTGATCAGAAGTGGCTAACTGGCCACAGAGGTTATTCTTTTCTGCAGACCTGGAGGCTGAATGTCCTGAACTCTGATGTACAATTTGTGAAGATTGTTCTGTAAGTGGAGGAGTTAGTCTGGACTGTTTATTCTGAAGACGCCATATGTGCAGCCGTAAGCGGACAACTGATCAATGATATTGATTGACATTTAAGAAAAGAACTATCCCAAATATACACCATAACAAAGAGGTAATAAAATGTTCAAGAGCCTCACGTATACTTAAATAGTGTGTCTGTGTTGTTGTGCTGTGAGCACACTCTGTCCTTTACTCTTTTTCCCCCAGGTGTTTTAAATTACACATACTCCATGATAACAAGGAGAGAATCCAAAAATAAGCCAAAACAGATTAGTCATGGTAATTAGCCACAGATGCATTGGGTACAAAAACAGATACAAAGAGAAACTGATATAAAAGGTGAGGTCCAAAAAGAGGCACATATTCACATAACGCTGCAAATGCAATTCTCCAATGAGCTGGCATTTAGGAAAATGCATGTACTTCATGTACTTCAGGGAGGCTGAATAACAAGCAACACTTTACTGTGACCTCTGATAACATGAGGGGGATTTTGGCCATGCATGTGACGACTCTTTTCAAAGAAAATATTCAACTTAACATAACATGACCTTTACCAAGTTAATGTCATCATTTCTGTGTCCAAAGTGATTTCATGTAAAATCTCACAATCTGAAACAAAGGATCTACGAACAACAAACAGTTTGGTGTCCATTGCTCCATACTAAATACTATTATATACTCATTTCAATATATAGTTTTATCAGTTATTATACAAGAAGGCAGCGTATAGTACTTTTCTGTTTGTACAGAAAGTGAGGCAACATATTTAAATCAAACTGCCACCTTGGGATGCCACTGTCAATTCAACTTTACAAAGAGAAAGCAAAACCATTTTTGTTTTCTGGGATCTTCAGCATTCACAGTTTCTTTTTATGTTTCACAACTTTGAGTAGCTTTTAAAATTTCCAAAGGGCTCTTTCTAAGCAGACATTTTGACATGTTACAATAGGAAAAGCACAGGAGTCGAACATAAAATGAATGATGGCTGAATTCCAGTTAGTAGCTTCAGTTTCAGGCTCTTGGTTTTGTGCATGCAGAATCACTGACACAGCCATTGTTCATGTTATTAATAACACCTATGCTTTTTCTACTGTGACAAGTCAAAAGGCCTGTTGTGCATTGCAATAGCGTCTCTAACAGCAGACTGACCGGAAAAGTCGGCACAAGCACAAGCCCATTTGATCATTATTGATTAATCTGCTGATTGTTTTCTTTATTGATCTTATTGTCGATACAAAATGGTCAATATAGTTTGACTCAATCAATATAGAGCCCAAGGTGGCATTTTCAATTTCCTTGTTTTCAACATCAGTCAAAAAGAGACAGAAATACAGAGATAGAGACAGAAGTTCTGATTTAATTTTCTCTCAGTTGACTAATCTATTACTCAACGACTCCTATCAGCTCTAATTCTTCGTTCTGTAATTTCTGAATGTAAATCATATTTAAAACCTGCTTAGCATTAGTATGCAGTATAGAAATAGGCCACAGCTTAGGTTTATAGTAAATATCAGTGTGAACAATACAAGCTAACCAAATATCTGAAAAACTTGCAGTGCTCTTGCTTGGAATACTTGACTGACGGATGATGAAGTACCTTAAGGTCAAAGTGAGCAATTTGTTTGGAGTGCAGGTAGAAGACTCCATCCAAGATCTGCTTGAGGAACTGAGTGGCTTCCTCCTCACTCAGCGACTCCTTCTCTGCCAGAAAGTCAAAGAGCTCACCGCCGGCCACGCTGGACGAGGAGAGAGAAAGAGGGAGAGAATTAAAAATGCGAGATCTCTCAAATCAGAGCCAGCTACAAATCCCTGCTTAACAGAGCTGAGCTGATGTAATCTAATCATCCTGGTGCATTAGAGCGCGACCAATTTACACATTCTGAGTCTGTTTTATCCAGCACTGTTTAAATAATGAAAACACTCCATTAAAAACAACAAAGAGTTGAGTTTTTACACTATTATCTTAAAAAGAAGAAACATAACTTTTATGGAAGGTTTATGGAGAGAAAGCAATACATGAGTTCAAATGTGATCATTCACTAAATAATGAAAAACATTTATTAATTAATCAAATGCCAATCAACTCAACGAAAGTGAACAGAATTACGGCACAGAAATAGTGAAATACTGAGACTAAATACTATTCTGATCTATGACGTTTAATGGACAATACTGACCCGGACTAATTTCTGGCTAGTTTTGGGCAAAAGTGATTTATTCATGTTATATATTCTATTTTATTATTGAGTATTTTCCATTAATTTTGGCATTCTATCCCAGTTTTTATGTTCACTCTTTGTCTATTTTCATGTGAAGCACTCGGTGGATGCAATTTCTTTACTGTAAAGTACTTTGATCTGTGTTTCTTGTATTAAAAAGAGCTATACAAAAGGAGTGGGTGATGTTTATTATTTTATTATCGATATAGATATATATAAAATGTACCTTAAAATATTTGGGGAAAACAAATTACTTTCCCATTACTGTACACCAATCAATGCTTTCTCAATTTTTTCTGCAGGAATAGAAACATGCACTCATGCGCGCACACACACCCATTCGCACCCCTCCCACCCCTTCCGGGAGGAAACACCAGACCAGCTGCACAGCTGGGACCTCCACCCCCTTCTCCCACCCATCACCCCCTCTATATCACGGATGTTTATTCCACCATCTGCTTCAGTGTTTAACAGGGTGTAAACGTATTCACACATAGGAAAGCAGGTTTCTGCCCGAACATGTCACCTCTGCTTCTTTTCGTACTGGTTGGTCAAGAACAGTTGCTGTCACAGTTGTATTTACCCAGAGTGCAGCAGGAGAAGGAGAGGATGTGGAGGATAAGGGGCACAACGTGGAGCAAAATATTTTTATCATCTGCATGTAACTTGTTGTTTTACCTGCCCAGTGCTTATGTCACCCTACCAGCTTTGAATGCTAACTGTAATGTGTGTAGAACCAGGAACATTGTTGTACCACTGTTGATTAAGACCCTGAAGGGCAAGTAAACTGAAATTATTCACTTTTTAAAGACACATAAAAACAGGCTAACTTCTACCATCTCCTCCGTAAGATGACCTTTATTAAATGAAGCACTAAAGACAAAGCATTCCCAACATTCAGCACATTGTACGTTTAGTTTCAGACCCTGTCACAACTCTCAGTCAGGTCCATTACTAGAGTCAAAAAAAACAAGTTAATGAATATCTCAACATTGTCCTCTTTAGTGTGAACTGTCAGCAGCTAAGGAGCATTAATGGCACAAGCTTGGCATTAACACTGAGTCATTGCCTGCCTGCCAATTTCACTTGAATAGGATCATTCCCTAAACAAGACATATCCTTAATTCATAAAACCCTGATTTAAGTAATTTCCTATATTGAGTTTTAATCATTAGGTCTATGAAAATAAGCAACTCCATCACATGTCAATGGATAGAGTGCTCAATCTATTGCCCAGTATAGCTACTGTGACAACTTTACATAGCTGTACAGACAGACAATCAAATCCAGGAAGGATAAACTGCTGTACCCCATAGCAACCGGCCCACACAAAAGCAGCCCGACTGACACAACAATGACTACATCTCGTCATGTAAGTTCCTCAGGAGCAAATCAAATGATCCTATCAAATGGGTGTCAGCGACCCAGAGTCCATGGGCTAAATCACCATGACAGACTGTGTCAAGTGTTTCTTTTAACTGCGAGGTGTCCACACTTGACAAGGACCAGACTTCGGATTTCACTCAGAATAATTTATTTGAATAATTGAACAGGAGTTGAACAGTATAGGTGAAAAACCTTTAAACACAGAAATAAAAAGCATTTTGAATAAACAGGTATTTCCACAGTAAACACAAGTCAAGGTAAATATTTCAAAAACGGTAAGTATATTTAAATTCAATATTATTCTTCACATTTCACCAAACTAATTATGCATTTAATTAATCTTTAACAAACAATTTTGGCTTACTATTTAAGCATTCTTTTACACAAATTAGGTAGAAAACCCACACATTTTAACCATATATATCCATGCATTTGAACATAGTTTCTCCCTCTCTTCAACCATGCAGCGACAACTTTAACACACCCATATTAACACCTAAACAGAAAAGATTTAAACAACATTCAAGTGAGCTTACCGATAGCCCGTCAAATCAAAAGTCTCATTCCCCGCAGTGGATGTGTGCTGCTCATTCCGTCATGTCAGTCCCTTTCCACCAGCCAAATGACTGCGTTATATGCTCCCGCTGATTGAAGTGTGTGCGAGCTTCTGATTGCTCAATCTAATTCACCTGGTCGAGGGTGCGCCAGGGCGCACGCACGGTCACACGCGGCTGCCGATGCAGAGCGGGGCGGCACGCAGGTGAGACGGCATGCAGGAGGAGGCGGGCACACGGGAGACAGGCGCACCTCTGCCAGATCAGCGCGACACCTCCCACTCGATCTTTACGTGGCGGCGCCCGGAAAGATCGTACTCTCAGGTGGGCTGGTCTCTGACTTGATCCTCCCATGGTATGAGGACCACAAGGCGCCGGACGTCCCGATGCAGTATGGTACTTGATCCAGGATCTGCGGCACCAGGTCTTGAGCTTCTCACAGAGATGCTGGAACTTGGGGAGACTCTCACATGAACATCTCGAACGACACCTCTGAAATCAGGATTTGCGCCGATGACTCTTGCAAGCCTGAACTGCCCTCTCAGTGCATTTTGGTCGCAGAGCCAAACTATGTCTCCAATGGTAACGTTCCTTTCAGCAGTATGCCACTTACTGCGAATGAACAGGTTCGGGCCAGCAAGTTGGCTCCAGGACTTCCAGAAGTTGTTTACTATCGTTTGCACTTCTTTGAGCCTCTTGAATGGGTAGGTGGTGTAGTCGACAGTTTTGAAGTCTCCACTTTGTGTAGCTCGACCAAGCAATAAGTTGTTTGGCGTGATGTACTGGATGCGCTCTTCTCGGCTTTGGACTCTGGCGTCAATGGGTCTCTCATTGGCAAGATTAGCAGCTAGCTGGAGCACTGTCAGGAACTCACTGAAGGTAAGACCTTCTACATTGCCAAGGCTTTGGAGGGCTCTCTTGGTGACTCTGACAGCAGCTTCGGCGGCTCCGTTTCGGTGAGGTGAATCGGCCGGGAGGATTTTCCACATCCAGGTCGTCTCATTTTTGGCAGCATACTCTTCAAGTGACTCTTTGCTCTGTTGATTCAGGTAAGTGTACATCTCTTTAGGACAGGTCTCGCTCCGACAAAGTTCGTACCAGGATCAGACCAGATTTTACGGGGATGGCCTCGGACAGCGGTGAATCTCTGGTAGGTAAGCAGGAAGCTCTCTGTTGATAGTGTGTTTGCCAGCTCGACATGAATGGCTCGGCTGGACATACAGCAAAACACGACGCCCCATACTTTCATGGTCACTCTCTTTTTGACATCATCCTTCACATGGTAAGGTCCAAACAGGTCAACGGACGTAAACTCGAATGGTGCAGCAGGACTAGACCTCTCATCAGGTAAGTTTCCCATTATTTGCTTGCAGGTTCTTGCTTTTGCTTTCTTGCAGACGATACACTTGTCAACGACTTTTTGGGCAATGACCCTTCCTCTGATGACCCACGCCTTTATCCTCATCCGCAGCAGGGTTCCCGCCACACCTTCATGTCCCTTACTGTGTGCTTCTCTGGCTAGCAGGGTAGATAACCAGGCTTGGAAAGGTAGGAGGGGAACAGCTCTGCGGTCTTCTTTGAAGGTCTGGATTCTCCCACCACAAACTAGAAGTCCACTTGTTTGGTCTCTGTAGACGACTAATCTGTCTGTTGTGGTGCCTGGGAAGTTGACGCCCTCTTGTGCTGCTAGGCAAAGGTCTCGAAACACGTCCCGTCTCTCTCTGACTGTAAGGATACCCGAGGATGGTACTGCCTCCCACTTTTCTTGGTCTCTGGTTTTGGCACTTAAGAACTTTTTAGCTGCTCTCCAGATCCAAGCCACAGTCCCAATCAGCCTTCTCAGGTTGCTGAAGCGCTTTCCATCGACTAGATGCCGGACTGCTGCTCCTGCTGGTGGTCTTTCATACTCTAGCTGGGCTGGATTTTGTGCCGTTTTCAGGCGACATCTGGAGAGTAGTGCTACGAATGTTTTTTTCTGGATCCTTGTGACTTTGTCCGAGCTTGGGCTGCGACGTCTCTGGCGGATTTCTTTGGCCACTCATCGTCAGGAAGTTGGAGGAACTTTGGACCCGACTGCCACTCGGAGTCCTCAGTTAGGGCATCTGGACTGGCCCCTCTAGTGATGATATCTGCGATGTTTGCTGGCCCTGGAATCCACCACCAGTCTTGGACGTCGGTACTGCTCTGGATCTCACCAACGCGATTTGCGAAGAAAGTCTGGTAGCCATAACTCTCACGCTGTATTGCACCCAGGACTGTTTGACTGTCGACAAGATGATACCATTTCTTGACCTGGAGTCGGCAGTGTCTCTGGAAGTAGGTCTTGAGGCGGGCTGCGAAGACTGCTCCGCATATCTCAGCTTTTACAGGATCCCCTTTGTGGTCAAGGGGGGTCAGCTTGGATTTGGATTCGACCAGTCTCACAACGACACCACGGCTGCAACTCCAGCGAAGATACATCACTGCGCCATATGCGTGTTGGCTGCCATCAGAGAATGTGATTGCACTGGGCTCTGCGCAGAGATCTGGTGGAGTCAGGGATCTGGTGAAACGAAGTTGGCTCAGGTCAGCATATTC